TCCTTGTCACCCCCCATGTTCCTGTGCCACCCTCCATGTCCCCCCACGTCCCTGTCACCTTCCATGTCCCCCTCCCATGCCGTGTCCCCCCCAGTGCCATTTACCGCGTGACATGTCCCTGTCCCCGCCCCGTGACGTGACCCCCCTCATGACATGTCCCTGTCCCCCCCAGGCCCCGAGGGGGGGTCCCTGCCCTGCTCAGGGCTCGGGGGGTCCCGGTGCTGCTGCGGCGCCTCCACGTCGGGGACTTCCTTTGGGTGGCCCGGGAGAAGGCCCCGCCCACAGGTGGGTGTGGCCAGAGGGAAGGGGGTGGGCACTTTGGAAGGACCTGCCCACTGGTGGGTGTGGCCAAGAGGAAGAAGGTAGGACCTTGAAAAAGGACCTGCCCATGGGTGGGTGTGGCCAAAAAGAAAAGGATGGAGCTTTGGGAAGGACCTGCCTACTGGTGGGTGTGGCCAAAGAAAAAGGGAGGGGCTAACGGTGATGGGTGGGGCCAAGTGAGGGGCGTGGTAGCAGCAAAGATGAGGAGGGGGTGGAGCCCAGTGAGGGTGGGGTTGGAGCAGGTGCCGCCCACACCCCCAAAGCACAACAAACAATAGCAGGGCTGGGTGTGTCCTGTGTGGGCGTGGCCACGTCCAGGCTCCTCCCATGCGGGACTGGGTGTGGTGTGTGGGTGGGGCCAAGATCAAGGGGTGGGTGGGGCTGCAGGTTGATGGGTGGGGCTGAGGGCAGGATCAGGATGATGGACAGGCCAGGGGCGTGTCCCTTGGGGGTGGGCGTGGCCAGGGGTTGTTTCCATGACCCAATCAGAGCTCTGGGGCGCGGGCGGTGGGCGGGACCTGACGTGTCCACGCCCCCCAGGCCGCGCCCCGCGGGAGCTGCTCCTGGACGTGGTGGTGGAGCGGAAATCGGCGGCGGATTTGGGGAGCAGCCTGCGGGACGGGCGGTACCGCGAGCAGAAGGTGGCGCTGGGGACACTGGGAGAACTGGGAGAACTGGGAGGGGCTGGTGTTGCTGATGCCACCGGTGTCACCGCGTGTCCCCCCATCAGTGGTGTCACTGGTGTCACTGTTGTCCCGTGTCTCTGGTGTCCCTGGTGTCACTGGGGGTGTCCTGTGTCTCTGGTGTCCCTGGTGTCACCTGTGTCCCATGTCCCTGGTGCCACGGGGGGTGTCCCCAGTGTCACCTGTGTCCCTATTGTCACTGTTGTCCCGTGTCTCTGGTGTCCCTGGTGTTACTGGGGGTGTCCCCTGGTGTCCCTGAGGGTGTCCCTGGTGTCACCATTATCCGTGGTGTCACCGTTGTCCTGTGTTCCCCGGTGTCCCTGAAGGTGTCCCCAGTGTCACCTGTGTCCCTGCTGTCCCTGGGGGTGTCCCAGGTGTCACTGGGGTGTCCCTGTTGTCACTTGGGGTGTCCCTGGGGGTGTCCCTGGTGTCACTGTTGTCCCCAACGTCACTGTTGTCCCATGTCTCTGGTGTCCCCGGGGGTGTCCCCGGTGTCACCGTTGTCCCCTGTCCCCGTCCCCAGTTCCGCCTGCGCCGTTCCGGGCTCCGCTGCCCCATTTACCTGCTGGAGGACCCTGGGGAGGGGGAGCCCCTGCCCCTCCCCTTGCCCACCCTGCGCCAGGCGGCCGCCAACACACAGGTACGACCCCCCCAAAAATGGGAATGACCCCCCAAAAAGGGG